CCCACGAGCGCCCGCCACCAGCCTGCGCCAAGGTGGGCGGGGGCTGCGGGTAGGGGTGCTGGACGGCCGGGCCGCGCGACCTCGGGATGGTGTCCGAAGGGCCGTGTCCGCGGGCCAGCCGGGCGCAGTGCGGACCCGCCGCCTTCGGGCACCCTGCGCCGCGGACAGGGGCGTAGGGCGGCTGGGCCGGCACCCTCGAAATGGTGTCGGCGGGTTGGGGGTCGTGGGCTAAGCCAGGAATCGCCGGGCCACACCAAGCGCGGAGGGGTTTCCGTCTGACTGGCTAAGGCTGTGGCGCAACCCCGCGGGCGGCCCCTGGCCCCAGGGCCCAGCTTGGCGAGTGGAGGTGGCCCAACAGCTGGCCACACTCACCTCTCAATCAGGTGCTGGCACTCCGAAGCACAAAGGGGCACGTCCCGAGTTTGCGATGCCATTCCCCTTCAGGCTCATCCGCGGCCCTTTGAGGAGTGCAGGACCCCTCGGGGTGGACCTGCTGGCCAAGCTTTGCTGCCCTTATGCGCGTGTCAGAGTGTGTCTCAGCCTGACGCCGGGGCCAGCATCCTTACCTAACAGCAACTTTACAGATTCGCTTTGTGATCTTCTAGAGATAACGTTTACATGGAGTTGGGGGCACCTGTAACAAAACCCTTACATTTTGAAGTTCAGATTTAGTATTTTCTGCTGTTTCTCCAACGTTTTTGGTAGCTTTGCTTATTTCTTTCTAAGCTTGGACTTCATGGGGTTAACAGCAGTATTCCTTGGTTCCCAGGAGCCTTTCTTTCCCTGAGGGCATTCGCCCCAGTGCCCTGCCCCTCTTCTTGATGATGCCAGGATCTGTGAACCTTGTCTGTGTAGGAACCCCTCTGCTTGGCTCAGTAAACTCTAACCAGGAAAAGCTAGTTGAAAAGCAGCAGAAATACAGACTTAAAAGTCTGGCATTTTTGTTTATTACGCACTTAGGTGGTGCTTACTGATACCAGGCACTGCTCTAAGGCTTTGCAGATATTAACTCATTTAATTCCTTGTGGTAGTTACTGTCATTCTCACTTTATAGATATGGAAACTGAGGCAGAGGGAAGCTAAGTGCCTGATGGTTAGTGATGGATCCAGGAGTTGAACCCAGACAGTGGCTCCAGGATTTGCCCAGCCATAACACCTGATGTGGGAACACTTGGTGCAGCGTCAAGTGCTTGCTCAGAGACACCGGCAATCACTAGGGCCTCCGGGCACTCTGGCTCTTGGACCTTAAGTGTGATGAGCAGAGACGCCAACTTTCGCCTTCAACATTCATCCAGTTATTGGCACTTTGCACTCTCTTCTTAGTAAAGCTCCCCAAATTTTCCAGGCAAAAGCCCTGCTCCCGAACATCAGATCAGAAAGAAGGAAACTGTTGCTCATTGGAAATGGGTCTTCTAAATTAGTTGTCATCTGATTTGACCTGACTGAGCCAGCCATCTGTATACTCACCTTGGTGTTTTGACAGTGAATTTATGTACCCAGGGGTCTTTTACTTGCAGTTTGAGAAGGCCATGAGAGGTGTGTGACCCACACTCACATGAGCTGTGTCCACAGCGTGTGCTCATGCTCAGAGCATTGAGAAAAGCCAGGGTTTTTCAGAAGCTGCTTGGTAGTGAGGGAGCAGGAACTATACAGCTTGTCCTTAGAGCATATTTGCATAGGATTCTGCCAGGCAAACTCCTACTCACCCTTCAAGGCCCCACTCAAATGTCCCCTCCCTCATGCTCCTTTGGCAGTCATGTGCTGAATTTTGACACATTGTTTGGGCTTCCACGTTTGCATGTCACTGAATTATTTGCAAAGTCCCAGCCTGTCAGTGCCCAGTACATACTAGAGCGTCCATGACACTGGGTATGTCAGTGGAAGTGTTTGGGATAGGTAGATGTATTTGTTTCTTTTGGCTGCCATGACAGGTTACCACAGACGGGGTGGTTTAAAACAGGAAACATTTTCTCAGTTCTGGAGGCTAGAAGTCAGGGTTGGTTCCTGTTTGGGGCTCTGGGGGAGGATCGGTCCCTTGCTTTCCTCTGAGCTTCTGGTGGTTCCTGGCAGTCCTCTAAGCTCCGTGGTGTGTGGACGCATCACCCCATCTCTGTCTTTGTCTCATGTGGCCTCTCCTCTCTGTGTGTCTAAGTGTCCAAATTTCCCTCTTCTCATAAGGACACTTGTCATAGGATTTAGGACCCACCTGAATCTGGACTGACCTCATTTATCTGAACTCCACTACGTTTGCAAAGACCCTGTCTCCAAGGAAAGTCACATTTACTGGTCCCAGCGGTTAAGATCCAACCTATTCTGAGGATCACAATTCAATGCAATACAGAGGCTGTGTGGAGGAGGGGTGTTCCAGACAGAAGAACTGAGGAGCAGAGGTGGAAGGGTCTGGAAGATCCAGGGAGTTGCAGGTGGTCCTGCCCATGGTCTGCGTGGAGCAGGCATGAGATGCAAATTAGAGGGGCAGGGAGTGCCTGCTGATCTGGGGAGCCAGGGCGGGGGTTAAGGTGGTGTAGCCTGTGGTGACCAAAGACAGTTTTGATGCAGCGTGAGATGCAGGTGGAACTGCGCTTTGGTGAGAGCCATAGAGGACCCTGAGGTGGAGATGGGCAGTGTCCCAGCAAAGTCCAGTGGCCTGCAGGCCAGGACCTGCCCTTCGCAGCTCTCCACTGGTTCGGGATCAGGGAGCCCTTGCTGTCCAGTGCTGTGCTCCCAACACCACTAGCCATCTCCCTGGACTGTGAGGCTGGGTTTGGGTTCCTTGGAGGGGCCCCTGGGCACAAGGCCTTGGCTGGCATGCAGGTGCCTCCTTGCTCCTTGGCACAGGTAGTTGCTTAATAAATTTAAATTTCACCCAGCCGCTGTAGGTCAGTGGTTGAGCATTTACCTGTGATCCAGGAGGTCAGGGTTCGATTCCCGGTCACCGCACATGCCCAGGTTGTGGCTCTATCCCCAGTGTGGGGCGTGCAGGAGGCAGCCAATCAATGATTGTCTCTCATCATTGATGTTTCTATCTCTCACTCCCTCTCTCCCCTCTCTGAAATCAATCAATCAATCAATTTAAGTTTCATTGTTACTGTTTGTATTGGTTTTCTCTGCAGTCTTGTCCTTCTGTGCCAGCACCTTGTGCAGGGGAGACAGTTCCATGGGAACAGGACAGAGCTGATAGGCAGGTGGGCATCTGGGTGTTTGCCATGTGGGTTGGGAATAGGAAAGTGAGACCAGCCAGGGCAGGTGCCATGCCCAAGGTCTGAGAGCCAGGAAGACGTCAAAACCAGGCCAGTCCTGCTCCGTTGTCCGTGTCGGGGGTCGGGGTGGGGAGCGGGCTCTCTGGGCTCTGTTAGATGTGAAACTTGTTGCCTTCCAGAATGTGGGCTAATTCGGTAAGGAAGGTACATTGGCTATTTTCAAAAATTAGAGCTGTCCCCATGGCTGCAAATGGCTTGGGGACTCCGAGCCTCCCTTCACTTGGCTAATTGATCATTTTAGGCAGTTGTCACTGAAAGTGCTTTCTCCCCAGGGGTGGGAGGGGGCACTGTCCCCTCACTCCTGTCCTTGGGCCCGCCCTGGGAGGGTGGGGATGGACCCCCTTAGCTGGGTAGTGGCCTAGCGAGAGCCAGGGTTTCCCTCCTCACTTCTTGTTTCCAGGTTAGATTCTGTGCTGATCTATATCACGCCTGCACATGAAGAGTCACGGTGCTGCGGTTGTTAAAAGTCCGGAGTGATCCGCCTCTTGCTGTCTTTCCACTTCCCAGCAACACCCTCTTGCCCTTCTCATTGCTAAACCAAGTGGCGCTTTTTAGATGTTTTTAGTTCTAGGCTCTGTCTTCGCTGGCTCCAGCTGCTATAGACGGGGCACTTAAACAGCAGGCATTTCTTTCTCAGTTGCCGTGGCTGGAAGTCCAAGGTTGCGGTGCCTAAGGTTTGATTCTTGTGGCGCCTTCTCCCACTGTCCTCACGTGGTGCACAGAGCTCAGGAGGCTATGCTGTGCTGCCCTCTATCCTGTCTTCCCTCCCCGGCCCTCATTTCCCTGGAGACACCTTCCCCCTCCCTCCCGAGCCCTCCCTGCCCATTTCCTGCCAGGTGAGCAGTGGGGAAGGTCCAGGGATCTCAGCCTCCTCAGCCTGCTGCGTTCCCCAGTGTGGGCTCCCTGGGTGGCGCAGTGTCACGTGCAGCACCTGGGGTCTGCTGATCCAGTTATCACCAGTCCATTTGCTTCTAGAATCCTGCTGATGGCTCAGCTGTCTCAGCCCTGTCCCCTTCGTCCCTATGAGTGTTTGCCTTTCTGTCCCTAACTCACTGGGCTGGGCC